GCTTCCGTTATTTCATCTAACGCCATTCTTAAAACTTGCTCTCATTATTTCATCTAACGCTATTCTTACAAACTTGCTTCCATTATTTCCTCTAACGTTATTCTTACAAACTTGCTTCATATATTTCCTCTAACACTATTCTTACAAACTTGTTTCCGTTATTTCATCTAACGCTATTCTTAAAAAACGCTTCATTATATCCTCTAACGCTATTCTTACAAACTTGCTTCCGATATTTCCTCTAACGTTATTCTTACAAATTTGCTTCCGTTATTTCAGCTAACACTATTCTTACAAACCTGCTTCCATTATTACATCTAACGTTATTCTTACAGACTTGCTCCCATTATTTCATCTAACCTTATTCTTACAAACTTGCTTCCGATATTTCCTCTAACACTATTCTTACAAACTTGTTTCCGTTATTTCATCTAACGATATTCTTAAAAACGCTTCCATTACTTCATTTAACGTTATTCTTACAAACTTGCTTCCGTTATTTCAGCTATCACTATTCTTACAGACCTGCTTCCGATATATCATCTAACGCTATTTTTACAAACTTGCTTCCGTTATTTCAGCTATCACTATTCTTACAGACCTGCTTCCGATATATCATCTAACGCTATTTTTACAAACTTGCTTCCATTACTTCATCTAACGTTATTCTTACAACTTTTTTTGGTCGCCGTTACCTTTTTTAACTACTTCCATAACCACGTTAAAACTAGAATGAACATATCCAAATCTATGCTGTTGTTACGTTAGTAAATTCAATGAACACTAATTATTCTAGAAAAACAAAACACAGGAGAAAAGACCGCAAGACATGGAGAAATAACGAAAAAAAAATGTTAAAACATAAATGTATAACAAAAACTTTTTATTATTATTATTACTTGCAACTTTTCAGGCAGAAGCCTTTATTCAAGCAGCATAAACTGACAACTGCCTGACAAAGGGCTTCTACCCGAAAAGTTGCAAGTAATAATAATAATAAAAGGTTTTGTTATAAACGTGTGTTTTAACATTTATGAATATTTTTTCACTAAATTATTCTAAATGTAAAACACGCCTACACGTATCGAGCCACAACTTAATACTTTAACTTTTTTCCCTAGAGATGATAGAATGATATATATATATATATTTACGTTTCTAAATGGATCAACGTGTTCCAAACACGCATAAACCTAGCTCATTTTGATCAAAGACAAAACCATGTAAAATATACCATATGACATTATAAGCCAATAGATTTAGTTTTGAAATGTTAATACTTGTTTGCAATATGAAGTGAAGGGTAAAATCGCCATCACTCGATTTCACATTTCGCAAACATTTTGATGTCTCTAACTAATGAAATTCTAAGATAGCCAACAACATCCGGGTAGCTAGATAGATAGCAAAAGAGAGACAGGGATAAAATGGTAAATATAGTGATATAAAAGTTATGAACATTTCAAGATAAAATCTAAATGATAAATCGACCTATCTTCAGTTCATTCATCTGGCTAAATAACAAAAGTATGTATGCATGTATCTAGCTTATACTTAGATTGATAAACTGTTTTAATAACCAGTCGTTCAACTTGTTATAAAATGCCTTTATGAGAATCTTTGGAGTTTACTTACATTTTGGCTTAGATGTAAAGCATTCACCAGGTACTCGGGAGGTACCGAATCGATCCAGATACGTGCACAAATTGGATTTCCACAGAAGATTGATGCCCAACAGCCTGAGGCTGGGTCTTGTTTTTCAGACTCAAAGAATATGGGAGCTGCTGTGTGGTATGAATTATTTAAAAGAAATTTATTGGGAATTGCTCAATTGAAGACATGCAAAAGTTGTATTACAACATTGGTAATTCATGGGAAGTTACATGCATGGATGTAGGTCTTTTTCACTGCTAACTAAACATATATAGATTATACTGATAAAGTCGTACACATGAAAACAATCGTTCAAAAATATATCACTTTAATCTATCATACAGTCTCTGGGATCAAGATAATAGCTTTAGATCTTTAGGACGCTCAACGTATTCGATTATGTAAAATAAACTGATCAAATGGTTGCTTGTACCCATCAATGCAGGAAAGTAGTAATGTTATGGTTAAAAGTTCAAAGTGTAAGATCGAGATTTCGGATTTCTCAGTTTTTTTCAGAGGTGAAATGTAGTGGATGCTCGAAGACTATCAATAAGATTAATGCTGCTGTTAATAGTAGTAATCACAAGTGAATACAACTGTCACAATGAAAATCCGTGGCTACTAACTACTAATGGCATATACAAGCGAAAAGGCAATATAGGATGTTTGGAAAATGCACAAACGTCAGACTGTTTCTGTTAACTGATTCAGCAGTGGCCACTCTCTGTTGGAGGTGGTGCTATGGTGTGACAAACGTTTTCATTGGATTCATTTAGAGAGTGGATAACATCTATAGTGTGTTACTGCTATTTTTCAACCCTGATGAACAACGGTTCTTCTACTACGCGTAATGCAACAATCTTCTGCATTCCTATTGTCCATCATTAGTTCGAAGAACATAGCCAGCATAATCACATAATATTAATTCGAATAAACATCTTTAGGGTGGTTTGTTTGTAGTTTAGCACAAAGCTACACAATGGGCTATCTATGCTTTGTCCACCACGGTATCGAAACCCATTTTCTAGTACTGTAAGTCCGCAGACATACCGCTATGCTACTGGGGGGCGTTTAGGATTGAGTTGTACTTTGCATTCGCTGCCGTTGCATTTCGCTGATATATTTGAATTAAATGGAGACCGTATACCTTGAAGAAAACTTACAATTGAACATTATTTCTAAGCTGCCCTGACTCCAGGCTATTATCTTGATCAAGTCTATATTAAACAGGAGTGCTAATAACAATGCCACTCAGTGTATTTCTGTAATTACACCATGATGCCATCTTAATTAATTTTTTGTAATCATATAATACTGCCATATTAAGGTCTTTGATGAATTAATATAATACTGTCAAGTTTAATCATAATGTGATCTTGATATATCTGGGTAATTGTTCTGTGCTTTAATATTAACCTATTTATTGTAATCACGTCATAAATGTTGCCATATTCTATTTGCTCGATACACAACATAATGCTAATTTGCCGTATTTTATTTATTCACGGCATTTCGCCACAATCTTACTGTACTGGTTGTACTTACAACGAACTGACACCATGAGGAATTTTATGGAATCACAACTTATTCCGTCTGAAGATACCGCCACCTTCATGTGCCTGTTCTAATCATAGAATGTTCTCACTTTGTACCCAAAGCATATGCTAATTTGTGTAATGTTTTTTCTATTAATACAATATCATCACCTTGACATATTTTCATAATCAAATCATCTTGTTATGTTTATTGTATTAACATCGTACTGCCGCCGTGATGTATTTGTGATAACGTTATCACATTACACTGTCGTCTTGATTACAGTCAATATAAACCCATGACAAATTCACCTTAACATACTTTGTAATCCCATCATAAAGATACATTTAATTTATTGTGTTTTTTTTTCACTAGTATTTTGTTTTTGTAAATACTTCGTTTGTCAGGACATAATTTATACGGCTTGAAGAATGTAGTAATCTGATATCCCTATTAAATCTGTGATAGCAGTGTAAGATGGTCTGATTAGTCGGAGTTCTCTGGTGATTCACTGTAAAATGATTTCGTTAATTATATTTGAGATACTCTGTAAAATGGTTTGATTAGTTGGAGTTCACTGGCTGGTGATTCACTGTAAAATGATTTGAGTGATTGGAGGTACTTTGGGATAGTATTTTTTTTTCTCTATCAATACTTCACACGATATCAAATGTCTGATAATAACAATTATTTCGCTGTTTCAAGTACAGTTTCATTTCATATATATGCAGTATTAATATCAATTATATTCAACCATCTCCATGTGCAGTTAAATTATTATTCGGATTATTGTTTATGATTTGTATTATCAAAAACAAATTGGTTATTTGAAGTGCTATTTTTCCTACCACGGGCTTCCATTTAACACAGAAATTCAACTTTTCAACTCCTCCTACAAAGAGCTAGATTCGACCGTTACTTTTAAATATTTATAGCAATGTTGTTTTTAAAGAAATCACACACACACATGCAATCTTACATATTATTTTATAGTGTTCGTAGAATTCTCAATATCAAGGAATGAAAAAAAAAAGTTGTTTTTAATTAATCTACACTTTTACCAATTTATTGATTTTCTTTTTTCTAAATGAAAAATAAATTATGTGTCATTACATCTTCCAGCTATTTTATACATTCATGTCCACTGGACCAGCCTCTGAAATGTATAACCAAAATATAGAGAAAACATTTAAGCATGAAATCTGTAGTTTCTTCTTCAATGAAAATAAATACGATAACTTGTTGACACGTACACGCATAACATAACAATTAAGAGATAATTTCGCAACTTCAATCAAAAATAAAGATCTGAAGCACTATTTCTAATCACCTAATCAATTGTTTTTCACCATGTAACTATGTTGAGTGTTTTTTTATATTCAACATGGTTAGTTAAAACATAACCATAAAATCATAAGTTGAACGTCTATATAGTAAAAAAAAGGAACTTTGCTACGTTTATCATTAATACAAAATATTTAATAAAATTTATTTATATATTAACTGTTAAAAGTCACTTTATCACATTTATTATTATTATTATTATTTAGTTATTTACTTTTTTACGATCTCTTTTCGTCTGTTTGGGAGTCAGTTAAGAATGTATATATCCTCCCAGCGATTTAGCGTATGATAGAATCAACGAATAACACTTTACGAAGGAGGCGCTGCTGTTTCGTGTGCTTCACGAGACTGGGACAGCACGAGCTATGCACGACCTTAACGTGAAAGCAGTAGTGCGCTTATGATCGGTGAGATCAACCTGTAAGTTTTTATATAGATAGTATACTATCGTCATAAAGAACCACCCACGAATCTGGAACGACATCTTTTCCCAAGAGGTAGCTATGGAACTGTCCAAGTCGACACAACGTAATCTCTTACAATTTTTGCTTAATGATTCGGGCAACCCTTGATAATAAGATATTCAATTCCAGATGAGCAGCATTAGTCCTTGTTAAAACTAGGACTTCGTCACTCCCGACTTGAGCTAAACTCTGTATTATGAAATCTGACTGCACTAAATAATCCCTTAGACCAAATTCAGTCACCAGTTCTGGCTATGGACAGAGAAATATGGAATCTGTCGCCAAATTCATTAAAGAAAATTACATGAATTTATTTTAAACGCGCGAATTACAAACCTTTCTGTGTCTTGCTACTCGTTCATGACATATAACAATGTTTCCTTTGATGTGGCTATATTTTGTGGTAGATGTCACTGTCCTAAGAACAGGTAAGTGTTGGTAATTTAACTGCACGTACTATAATGGAAGAACAATGATCATAATTTCTCGTATAAACTTGTGTTCAGTCGTAATGTTCACGTGGACTTAATTTGACGTTAATCTCATGTTTAGTATGTAAAAATCTTACCCTTTTCTATAACAACCCTTTTAACAGTAGTTTAAGATATCTTTAATTTTCAACAAACTCTTCTTTTGGAGTTCTGATTGACAAATTTTCTTCTTTATGGTAAACGTAGAATATGGTCGAGTTTTATGGTTGAATAGTTGTGTAAGTGTTTTCTGTATATAAGTGCCGCGAAGTGCTACCTGTTTAACATTTCACTTATGCAACGGTACAAGTAATGTAAAACGATGTTTTTCAGAATTTTTAGTGCACATTATATGGAGATAAAGGTAGCTCTTCTAGCTTCAATGAAAAAAATTAATATGATTTAAAAGTTAGGCATTAGGACCAGAATCATCATGTTTCAATACAGAACACAAAAATATACATTTATAGTAACATTTCGTCAAGCAAAAAGTGAGTATCATATGATGTTTTTGTAACATTTCTAAAACCTTTACAAATTATATTTCATTGCCAGAAAAGAAACACGGAAATGCATGCTAACGTATTAAATGTTTTGTATAAGTAACTCTTACAGTGAACAGTCACGCACTTTAGGACATTTCAGTTGTTTTTATAAATATGTGTTACAACACTGCGTTGGGCCATAAACATCGTAAAAAAATAATAATAAAATACGAATGTATAGATATATATCTTAACAAGAGACATAAAAATGAAATACTTTAAGAGTCGCTTTCGTCATCTTGCTGATACTATGTTACAAAAGTCGAGTTCTAGTAAAAGACAAAGGGAAAATAACACTGGGACAAGTAACTGTACAACTAAGTTAAATATTAACGATATTCATAGAATTTGTTTCTTCTGGTCATGTCAGACAGGTAGGAAAAAACAGTAAAGACGAAGGTAATTTTTTCATTTCTCCTCTACTTGAAATATAGTGAAAAACATTTTCGTTTTTTTTATGTTTTTTAACTTTCAGGGTTACTGGAGAAGTATATAAAGTTGAGATAAGCATACATATTGTAAAACTGGTATTATTTAATAACATTTTACATAGGTACGAGTAATAAAATTGTTATAATCATCTTGAGTTTGTAGTTTAAAAACACAAGTTGAGCTAGTTATACACGAATCTAATTTATAAGAAAAACAGTTTACATGATACAATTAATGACAGTTAGAATTTCTTATTTTCATAATTTTAGGACACGGAATTTGATGTTTGTTTCTAACGTAATCAAAACTATCTTTCAACTTCTTTTTATTAAGTGTGAAGTAGGTTGATTTCACGTGAACTTCCTTTGAAAGACTGACATGTTTTGACCGTCAATGCAGCTTTGTTTCATGCAGCGACATAAAGCGTGTGTTAACATAAACCTAAACGAACATAAAGGAACAGCAAGTTGATTATTTTTAGTACAGATTCCATTGATCGCCAGACAGCAAAAAAAAGAAAGCTTTTGTGAATGGATCTTTTATATACTCTACACTAATTGATACCGCGAAGACTGGTTTGAATTCGTTTCGTGTGTAGATTGAATGACACTATAAGCTTTTGTGTCACATGTAACATGTCATTCAAACAAAATTTTGGCGAAAATATTGAATGATGTACATATTCAGCTTAGCCGAAAGTCAAATGAATGAAGAATTCGTTATTACTTTCAAAGTGCGCACCGAAATTCAGTAAAAATGTCGAAAGAATCTTTGTAAAAACGTAAACACATCAGTGAATCAAACGTACAAATGACGAATTTCTGAATAGAGCTTTTGTTTTACCACAAAGCTTTACAAGAGGTTAGCCAAGACATTTCCATAGATGGGATCGAACCCCAAACTATACATAGAGAAATAAAGAGTTAAAAATCAATTCGAGTAGATGACATTAATGTATGAATATATAGTCAGCGATCAGTTAAATACTTGAAATATATCAGTGTACGTTTGTTAGTTGTTGTTTTTTCTAGAGAATGATCTGTTTTGATTAAAGTTCTTTTCCTTGGATTTTTTGTCATTGGAGCTATTCAGGAAAAGTTATCCTGGTTAGAACTATTTTGAAGAATTTGTTCTCGTTCTTCTAACATTTTTTATGATTTGATTTGTTCAGAGGAATTGTTATAACTGATTTTTTTTGGATTATTTCATTTCATTAATACTTTCAAAAATTTGATTTGCTTAGAAATATCAGTAACGGCTGGTTTGGATTAAAACAATTAAGTTATATTGGTAAGTCATTGGGCTTATAGCGTTAAAAATCGGGTACCGATACCCGCGATGAGCAGAGCACAGACTGAGTTTATATCGGTAAGTTAGTGAGCTTATAGCGCTAAAAAATCTGGTATCGATACCCGCGATGTACAAAACACGGATAGCACTAAAATCCGGGGTCCGATTTCCCGTGGTGGATACAGTGGGTAGCTCAATGTGGCTTTGCGTTAAGACAATCAATCAAACAAACAAAAACTTAATTCGCGAACAAACATTTTCGAATAGTTTTAATTAAAAGAATTCAACAACAACAAACTTTTGAATCTTATGAATAACAAAAACTTTTAAAAACAATTCGACAACAACAACAAAACAAACTCTTGCACTTAATTAATTACAGAAAACTCTTAAGAACATTTTGACAACAATGGCAAAAACAAAACAAAACAAAACCACTATTGCTCTTACTTAATTAAAGAAAACAATGAAGAAGAATTCAATTAACTACAGCTATTCTGGTTGATAGTTATGAATCTAAACACTTGAATAATTTGAACTTGATAAAATCCCACATTTTAAAAAAGCACAAATTTTACTGAATGATTTTTAGCCAAAACAAATACTCTAGAAGGAATCGTATCGACCTGCTTGTTTGTAACTAAGTACAAAACTACATATTGGGCTATCTGTGCTCTGCCCACCACTGGTATTGAAACCCGGTTTATAGCACTGTAATTCCGCAGACATCCCACTGTGCCACTGGGAGGGGGGGGGAAATCGTATCGGACTGTTCCAATTAGGACGAAGCTGCCATATTACAGTACAAAAAATACACACCTTTCTGTAAGCTAATTTCAATCAACACACAGTTTTTGTTGTAAAGCACAAAGTTACACAGTAGTTGTGAGTCCGTAAATTTACCCTTGAATCACCAAGAGACTCATGATTTAAGAGACACTCAAATTCGTTTTTGTTTTATTCTGACCTGCATTTCATAGATTCAGCTGAAAAATGTTTTAATGTATAATGAGTATTTGATTTTTTACTGTACAATGTGTATATATATATATATATATATACACATATATAAGTATATATAGATAAGAAGACGGCGGCAATACACCTTCGTAAATTATATTTAGTCTACTAAAATAAACAATGTATTTAAGATATCATGAACAAGTATTTTACGGTATCTTTCAGATTTTCAGGAAATATTAAAATTAACTTTAGAAATGTTATTACGGTTCAATCAGAAAATTTACTGTAAGCGTGATACTAGAGAAGAAATATTCATATGTTTAATATTATTTTTGTTCTGTACTGCTCATAAGAAATATTTAAGGCATTAACAGTTTTTGTTTGACTTATATTTGCAATACTGTAACAGCTACCACGAAAGCATATTACAGCTATCGTTTGTTTAAAACCTTGGAACCATATGATACTTATACAATGCTTTTTTTTCTACATGTTATAGGCAAAAATGTTTCAAACTGTGAGTCTAATTTTTGCAAAGGATGGGCACATAAAAACTAGTGGTGGCGCTTCAAACGAAGCCTACTGAATATCGTATATTTGTATATATCTGAATGTGGGATTGCTAACCACAAAAGACACGGACCACTACTTAGTCTAATTATTAGCACTTAAATGCGACGTGAAGTTACTCATAAAAATTATCTAATTACACAGATTGCGCAAGGCGGATTAATTTCCTTTAAAAAACACAACTTGCGAACTACTTTTATATAATAGGCTTTAAAAAGTATAATCCCGATAAACTTGATCTAATGAGCCAGTAAAAGTAGCATGCAATCCAAACATTAGAAGCCGTACAATTTCTCATAAAAAGTGATATAAAATTATGTCAAACATAGGTAAGACATGTACTTTTTCACTATATTGTTGTTTTTTTTCAATAAAAACAACTCCTATGGTCATGTTTTGTGTAAAAAAAAAACGGTTTGTTCTGACTAAATGCTCTTTCTTGTCAGTCAATAGTAATTCCAAATAATACATCATTCCATTATTGTAAGAAGTAATTTTTCACGGAACTGAAGCACTACGTCAATATGTACAATGTAAATTGATGAATCTCAAAATATCTTGCGCGTACGATATTTTTCTGGTACCCTCTTAGTATATGCAAAAAATCGTGGTAAGTGAATCCATATGAGTTTTTCTTGGTGACCTTACACAACTGCCCCACCTCAAGAAATAAACAAATAAAATAAATATTTCCCGCTACTCTCCTCTGAGGTGACATCCAAATTTGGCTAACATCCGCTGAGAAGTTTCTGAATACGTAGAAATTTACTTATTTTACAGCCCGACCACATCCCAGGGGATAGTCAGATAGTAAAAATAGTTCACACTTCACCTCCCTGCGGTATAATCAATACAAATGCTAAAATACGTCTGGTTGTTTCCTGCTTATAGCGTTTCAAAGACATATACACGCGTACAAGATCGCGACCACAAAGTGATAAAATAGCTGTGTGGAGTTATAACCAAAACTAACCCTATTCTTGTGATACATTGAGGAATTCCATAGGGAAAAGGCTTAAATGAACTCTACAAATCTACTTGCTCTAAAGTCAACCAGAAAAGACGATGATTCTTTTAATGGCACAAATGACTTAACTAAATAGCTAAAGTCAACCAGGAAAGACGATAATTCTTTTAATGGCACAAATGACTTAACTA